TTCCCTTAAACGAATTGCATAGTGTCTGTATTTTGCCTCTAGTGACAGCAATAAGACAACAGGGTTGCTGCTAGTTCTACATAATCAAGGTGGAGTAATAAACACAAGTGGCATCGTGAGCAGCCGCTCTCAGGCATCTGAGGATTTGTTTCATATGACTCTTCTGTTACATCTTTTATCTCCTATTCACTTGATTTTCCTTTCTTGTATTATCTCTTCCTGCTTGATTTCTTTTTGACCTCACCTATCTTCTCTTCTTTACCTTTCTTGATACCTTTTTCTGTATTCATCCTCCTAACTCCATCAAATTAAGATGCTCACAAGTCCCTCTCTTACCATTGAATAAATACTCCTTTAAGAGATATTTCTTTGTTTCTTCTCAAGGAATTATTTGAATTCAGGGATCATGAGGACAACTTGTACGCTCGTATGTTCAGTTTACAAAAATTACAGTAAGTGAAGACTAAAGAGAAAGGAGAGCTCTGGAGTGCAGCTACTGTCCTGCTTCACAGACGGAGCGTGTAGAAGTGCACTCAGCCCAGCGGTTCATTTGCATCTTTTAATCCCTTTCGCTTTTGGTATGGGTGCTATGGGGATGATTTGGTTATTTAGCTTCTGGCACAAAGAAAGAATTCTGCCTATATGAAAGTACAGAGAAACAGTTTTGTCATTCCTCAGCTACATATGCCTAGCCTGGAAGTGACAGGCAGCCAGATTTTCCTTCTCACTGAAACACACGTGCATTTTAGGATTGATAATACAAATATTTCCAGACATGCAATTCTTCACAACTGGAGTTGGTATGGAACGAGGGCAATTTGTACTTCCATTTTAGTTTGAACCACAATTTAGACATGAGGGAGGATTTTACTAGTAATACCTGCAGGAGAGATTATGTCAAAGTGACGATTTGTTTCTGTCAGATTATTACTAATGCTTCTCTTTCAGTGACTTTGAATTGGTACAGTTCAGTTAATGATGGTCTCTTCCAGTTCCTTTCCAGGTGCAGAGCATGATGCTATTTTAAAATGATAAATCCTTTATCAGCTTAAGTGATCATTACCTGAAATGCCCTTTTCTACAGCCTCTGTCTGTATACTTGAATGACCTGAGATGTTCAGGTTAGAAGCTCTGTAAAAACTTCTGGGCCAGTTAGAAGAGGCATTCTTCATAGTATGTCCTGAATAAAAGGGCATTCTTCCTCTTTGAGATCATTATTATTTTCCGTCACTTTTGCTGCAGAGCTCATTTGCCATCTCACAACTTTTTTTCCTCAACAAGGTGAAGTTATAGATGACGGGAAGATCTTGGGCTTGGGAAGGATTTTTTTGTCATCCGTTAAAGCCCAGTTTGAAAGGTATTGCTCTCAAATCTTTGTTTTGTTTTGAAAAGTACGGAGTGTACCCTACTATTAAATATCCTAAAAGACAAGGTGTATTTTCTTCTTTTTAAGGACTCTGTTTCCATTTCTTTATATCCCTTAATGTGTAGATAACACCTGTGGTAGAGAGTTATTACCAGAATGTAATAGATCATCATTGACAATGACTTCTTTTTCAATAGCACTGTCTTGGAAATGTCATCAATCCTGAAGAGCATTGAGAGTGCCTGATATGTGTGTGTGGGAAAGAAAAAGGCAGCACAAAGCAGATATATTGACGTGTTTGGCTAAATACAAAGAACTAGAACATTTCATTTGGGACTTGGAGAAAAACTTCTATGTCCTCAGCAGTGTTCATCAACACATAAAACTGCAACAAAGGTGACACTCCTAATGCATGTGTCTGAATCCTTAACTGGTTAAACTGTGATGGTGCCAGTGAGTTCAACAATGCTCAGTCAGTGTATACCTGAAGAGTCTGGGAATCCAAGAGCAAACTGATTCCATCGATCATGGGAAATTCTCTCTAATCAATGCCTATTTAGTTGCATGAAAGAAAACAAAAGAGAGTCCTGAAATGTGCTGAGTAAATTTAAAATGCTGCTCAGGACTTCACCTATGTCTCCATATCATCTCCAAGAAAGAATAGAAAACCATTTTCAGCTTCAATTCTTCTAACTGTAGAACATAAGCAAACAGAGGCCTATCATTTTACTTAATATTCAAACATTTCTTTTAAAAAATCTTGTTGCACAAAGTAATATGTTTCAAGGTACCACTCAGTACAATGCTTAAAAGCTTGTTTGGATAGTTATTCAAGTAAACACTGAAGTACTCAGAATCGAAGGAAACATGCACTAGAGCTACATGGCATTATTTAAATATCTCAGAGAGTTTTTATTTAAATGAGAGTGAGTCACTGCTGAATTTTAAAGAAACATGCTATTTAAGTCACCAGTACATAGAGGGGTCCCTATCATTAGCATTTTGCTTCTTGACACTAATTTATAGCGCAGTGTAGTATTACATCGAATCATTGTCAAACAGATAACGCCAATGCTTCCACATCAGCTGCAAAATGACAGATAACAAGACTGCTTTTGCCTAAATAAAGCAAAGCATCTGTTAGAGTCCTAAATGACTTTTGCATGGGATGTTCTTCAATTAAGAAAATTCAGGCAAGCTGTGGATATATGTTGAAATGAATCATCGCATACTGAAACATGTAGAAGGAGAGAATAGAACTATTCATTACCTAGTGAGATGAAAACCATTTCATGTAGGCTATTGTGATTCAGCAGTACTCACCAACCTCATTCAAAAGTAGGACTAACAAACCAGACAGTATCAGAAGCGACTCCACAAAGAAGAATGCTAAACACTACTCAGCTGGAGTCAAAGCCACATAACCTATGTAGAGAGCCACCTGGACCACCTTCTTCCAGTTATTTTACCAGTTAATCTCATAGGGTCTAGGAAGGCCTTAAATAAATTGAGCAAATCTTACCTTAAGGTCCCAAGAATTATTATCACTACAGAGCTGTTTTGCTAGAGTCTAAAATACAGGGCTCATTTATCTTCTCCTCATTTTCAAATAACTCTCTATCCCAGGTAAGATAAGGACTGTATATTTCTGCTACAAGAGCTGCTGCTGCTGCTATGGAATTTCTAGACAGGACTGCACACCAAAAGGTCTCAGTCATCCCAACTTGGCTGTGGGAAAGCGTATACGTTTCAAAGCGTCCACGTTTCAAATATCTTAGCAGAAGATTTCATACAGTAATTTAACTACTGTAGGTGTTTATCTCTTCTGGAATATGTCTTTAAATGACCCAAACCACGCATGGTTATGACCCAAACCACTATATCATACATCAGCACGTCATATCTCAGCATCAAAATCTTGAGATGAGTTTTTTTCAGAAGCCCAAACTGAAATTTCTCAAAAAACCTCACCCTTTTTTTCTCAGGAAATTTTTCAAACATTCCTTCTAAATTTTGAATCTGACTAAAATCCATGCAAAGCACTGAAAAACCAAGTGAACCAAAAATTCCAGGCTTGAACTTACTTAGCTGTTACAACTTCTTCAATATCTGACTACTGCTATGCTGCACTATTAGGCACGCCCCAGGAACGCACTGAGTTTCCAGACAAATGAGAATCCCCATCAGAATAAACCTCCGCCACTGTTACACACATCGTGCCAAGGGGCTCCAAGATGCAGTCCATGCAACTCCCAATGCCCAGATATCAAATTTTGACTGATTGGAAACCACATCCATTAGTAAGTGGATAGATTCAAAGCCATGGCCATCAGGCTGTGACCAAATATTTTTAGAATATGTGGGCGCATTACCAGCAAGAGAATTTCAGATGTAAATGTGAGAGATTCGAATTCCCTATGTCTCAGGAAGATAAGTTGCCTGAGGGATGAAACAGCTGTTATTTTACGTGGAGCTTTCAGTTCTGTAAAGAAGACAAGGGACAAGAAAAACTGAGGGAGTTTTGTGGAAGCTGGTTCACATTCCTCACATGTACGTCATTCAGAAAGATACTGATCATGAGTTTCTGCCACAGCATATTCTACTGGGACACATTTTTTATAGTACAACTGCCAATTTTGTCTTCATTTATACACAGCTTGAACAATTTCTTTGACACATTTTGAATTATGATAAAGAACACTGCAGTTATCTTGCAAATTAATTTGTAAAAACTTACTTACTAGTCTTTTACTAGACTTTGTCAAGGCATGGATTATAGATTCATATTCACAATCTTCACAACCAAAGTGCTGAGATACTCTTGATGATCTGATTGGTCATACAGTACAGTAAGACTAACACTCCATCAAGTCCATTGCCTGACAAAACAAGGGAAAACACACCTTTCCTGATTTGTAGAATAGCAGTCACAGACTTCAAAAAAAATCACTGGTTCTGCAGTTTCTTCAGGTAGTTGCGGTGGTTTCCTCATGGAAACATGGAACAGAATATAGAAGAGGTTGTAACCTCACAATACTGAGCTCAAGACTCGTGTATCATCTCTCGTATGGAGTTATATCTGCAGCCTGTCAGTTACGTCAGCATGGATTGCTTTCCTACAGGAGCCTGGTGAAGTCATTGTGTCTTGTATAAAAGAAACTCTGATTGGAAAAGGCAGAGTTATTTTCTAGCGTGGTGAAAAGAACAATGACTTTTAATATCAGACAACAGCAGAGGAGAGATTCCAGCCTGGGTATCTTGTACCTCACAAGTGCCTCATCCATCAGGCTTTTATATTAGCTT